TATTAACAGTTAATAAAGCTTATTAAATATAAAAAAAATCCTTCCATCAGTGTACCTATCAATTTTAATTTAACATTATTATTTATTATTTATTGTTTATCATTTCTTACTTTCTTTTAATAAAATGTAAATCTTTTTATTTTATTCAATAATAATCTCAAAATTTTGATAGCTTCAGATAAAACGCGTAGGACGATTTCCGCCCACGGATACTTTGAGAGTGAAATGAGAAAGGATTATATAGGTGTTTATTTTTAAACAAAATAATAAGATTGCCATTATGTATGGAGAATGTGTAAGACACGAGAATCATTCCAAGGTTACTTGTCTTATGCTTTTAAATGTTTTCTCTCAACATTCGATGCGGAGAAAGCATCGCCTTATTAGTACAGTACTTGGAAAAAAAAATTTCGGCTCATCGGGTGATGAAAATTATATTTAAAAAGCCAAAAATTAATTATACTCACAAATTTTAATTGTTTAAAGACAATAGTTACATTTTCTTTGGCAGTTGGTGAAGAAAATGGTTGACGGTAGAGAAGTCAAGCCCCTGATCGTACTGATCGTGCAAACCGTACCGGGATAGCTCTTTTCTTCTTGGCGTAGGTGCTTATTAGTTTGCTGGCTGGTAATTGCACCTCGCTAGAGGTAAAAATGAAACCGTAACGGTAAAGTTACAAGCCGCAACTCGTATCATGGGTATATGAGTGCATAAGAATAAAATAGAGGGACGTAAATGCGAATCATTAAAGAGGATTTTATTTTTTTTATTTCATTGTGAGTATGAGTTATGTTTTAGTTTTTTAATATTAAACGTCCAAATTGATGCTGTTATTAAAGATGGTCAATGACTTTGAATTAATAGGTGTTGTAGATTGCGTGATTTATTGGATGCTAATATCTTTAATTTTTTAATTTTACGAATAATTTATAATTTATTTTTATTAAAACTTTTTTTTTTTACACTGCTTAGAAAAAGTTTCTTCTTAAAAAAATAAAGAATTAATTTATTTAAAAATTTAAATAATTCTATTTTTCTAGCAAATTTTTTTTCACAATATTTTTATATATATTATATTAAACTTCACTGTAATTTCTTAACTATTAACATTTATAAAATTATAAGCTCATCCTGATATTACACTCATCAAGAGCTTTTATTTGAGTACCCACATGGATTTTTGATATATTTTTCATATATACATATATATAATATATATAAATATATAATGAAAAATTGATGTAGGTACTCAAATGAAAGGTCTCGATGAGTGTAATGTTGAGATGAGCTTATATCTTTAAAAATATCAATAGTTCACAAGATACAAGGTCATTT